TAAAAATACAAAAAAAAAATTGCAAACTTCTGCAAGCAGTCTGTTAAGTCTCCCGCAAAAAATTGTTAAGCGCTTAGAGGCTTGCAATAAGTGCTATATAAATTGTAATCTATTTTTTTTTTTCTCCAGGGGTTCCGTCGCAAACAATTTGTTCTTTTTAGATCGCTTTAAACTATCAATGCAGGCTCACTTAAGTTCCGGCTTCCAATGCATGTAGGCAATAGGAAACGCAAGCTAACTTGTTTCACAAATTTCTTTTTAGAAACAACTTGTACATCGACTGGTTTACGTGTCAAAAATCCGCCCGGATGTTAGTGACAGGAAAGAAATTGGAGGTGGTTATTTAGTTTTAACGTACCATGTAACATTTCATTGTACCCATCTTATTATGCTATTAAGAACAAACTAATGTGGTCTTCTTAGAATGTTTGCTACATCAAAGCAATAATATTTACAGCTTTATCATCCAAGTTAAACAAGAAATCTGAAGTAGTTTTATCACTTAAGCTTGATACGCATGGATTTAGACAGTAGATGTTGGTCAACCAGCTGTTTACAGTCCTTTGTTTAATTATTTATGAAAATCAACCGGAAAGAGCATTGGATAGCAATTTTAAACAGAGTACACGTAACTATTCAAAGCCTTTTTCCTTTTCAACAAAAATAAGAAGAAAATCCAATTTTTTAATAATAAGAGTTTATTTCTCCATAGATATTTTTGTACCATTTCTAGATCTGACTGTCAAAGGCAATTGTATTGATAGAGAACAAAATAAAAACAGTTAGAAAGAAGTAAATTGAGAATGACGTTTTTCGTCTTGTGACAAGCGGGGAACAAAGAAAACTTCTGAGTACCTATGAGGAATTGAACCTCAGTCCTTCAGATTCCATGCTCCAGTGCTCTACCACTGAGCAGCAGTCAGGCTCAGAGACAAAAGAAGTAAATTGACCAAAATAGTGAAAACATGTAGAAATTTTCTTAACACACAGGTCAAGACATGAGTGGATGCTAATTATTTCAATAAATGAATTTCTCTGATACTTCAGTGGTTTATAATGAATGTTTTGGCTACTTTGTTCAATGCATAGAGACATGGCTTTATATTGTGATCTTAAGACAAACAGATATTTACTCAGATGGTGGAAAACAAATAGAAAAATAACAATGGTTAAAGGAGCTTTCTTTCACATCCTTAGCTCTCACCTCCTGATCACCTTGAATTCTTTACTTATTTCTCAAATCATTTTCAGCTCACTATGAAAGACTTTTTAAGGAACTTCAGATACAAGTTCATGGAGAAGCAGTGACAGGACTGCTTTTGATATATCCTACTCATGTCATTCATGTAGTTGAGGTGAGAGCATGTCTCAACTGCCTTGAATCCAAAGAAATTTGTGTTATTATGACTTAAGTAGATAAACGGTTAATACACGGAATGCTACAATAACTATTGCACACATGATAGATAAAGTTTCTCCTTTACTTTTGGAATGAACCAGGGTCCAAAGAGGTGTTCCTATATTAATTTTTCCCTGCAAAATTAACAATATTAAAGCAGTGGAATTAAAATCAATGTGGTAAAGGGGTTCATTCTCTTAAACATGTCTGTGTTTAGGAGGTAATGACTTGTATGACGAAGTGCTTGAGAAGTATTTTTTTATTATTAACGATAGTTTTTGTATAATTCTGATCTTCACGTAGTGGAATATCTCAAACAGATTTGACAAATTTTAAAGAAAAAAAATTGATTTTGCAGACCTCCTATAACATGCTCTTGAAAGTTATCAAAGACTTAGAGGAGGATGAACAATGCTACAGGTACAGTCGACAAACCACTGACCTCTACATTAGCACCTGAATGATGAAATAAAACACCTAGAAAAAAAACTATACTGTCTGTAAGTTAACTTAATGAACATGTGAAAGTGACTTTACTTACAGACAAATTTGAAAGAGAGTTGGCGGATGAAATTACTGTAATATGCAGTGTGTGCATGGAAAGGACAGGAGTCCAACTTTTTCAGTTAATACATTTAGTGAAAATCATGCTATTGGGTTATTTGCAGTGGTATGCTGTTGAATACAAAGTTACTTGTGTGTACTGGTGATGTATCCTTTTACGTCATATTATAACATAATCAGGTTGGCAAGTTTTTGGTTTTCCTCCAGAACAGCAGAGTATTAATATGATTAGAAAGAAACTGCAAGGTTCTTACATGGCAGACAAATTGTGAGAATAAAAATACAGTTTGGTGACTTTTCACTGGATTGGAGGTTAACTTTATTAAATTTGTGTGGTCACTATCTTGAAGGGTTTTTCTGGCAGGAACTCAAATTATTTCTGCAATACAGCTGCAAAATGTTCACAATAGTGCAATGTAGAGTTTTGTGTCTTTTAGAGTTGAGGGATTTTGGCAAATGACAAATTTATGTCCTGTTGATTTGGAAATGTAAAAGAAATTGGAGTTGCAAGACAAACTTTTGAATACATTACTGAGAACTCTGTCTGATGGTGTAGTTATACAAACAGTGAATAGTAAGTTGAGGTTCTGATATGACTGGCAGTTAAATTAAGTAACCTTAACCCATCAAAGCTCAACAATCGCCTCTTTGGACAATGGAGTTTTAGAACTCTCAATCTTGCTGTGTCAAGGATGCAGGAATTCACAACTAATGAAGCCATTGATGTTGTGGTTAGTGATAGATGTCATTTTTGTTAAATATTTTTATTGCCTTTCTGTAAGCTGTTCATTTTAAGTGTCAACTTCAACTCACAGAAGTGTGGACTTATGGAAGGTATCTGTCCAAATATCTACAGGAGGTTTTCCTTTCTAGCTAATATGTGATTGTTTAACAATTGTATATGGAATTTATTGCCTAGAACTCAAGGCCATAAATGAGTGCTGGTAACCATATCAATGGCCATAGGGATATTAAATGTAGGAAGTAGATCGTCATGTATAGAAGTTACCTTTAGAAACTTGATGATCAAGCAGGTGATCATAAATGCAGAGGACCCACTGATGGAAGGTATCAGTTCATAGGTATTAATCAATAAGAGGCACCGTATTGAGAAATATGCCTGTGCACTTTATTTATAACATAAATAACAGCAGTTGAAGTTTCATTTGTCTTTTAATCTTTTTGCTCTTCAGGTCACAGAAGCCTTAACACTTATCATTAAGCTAGCAGAATATTTGGCTAAACTACCAAAGGTTGGAATATTAAATATAGAACCTTGTCAAGAAGTTATTTGCGGAAGACAAAGGAAATTATTCCTAATACTACTGTAACAACATACTTCTCGAGGAATATGTGCACTGAATAATAATTTCTGAATCCTATAAAAGAAGTCAGAACTCACGATCAGTGATCTGCACACTTTATGACCCCTGTACAAGGAGAATGAGTGCATGTAAAGATATGCAAAAAGCCTTTGGAGATCCATTCTGCCACACGTTGTAGGACAGCCTGGCTTTATTCCTCTGCAGGCCTCCAGCCATTTCAAAATACAAATTCTGGTTTTTGTTAAAGTACCCTACCATAGAATGGAGAAAGGGGATGATTTTTTGCAGCAGTGACTTCTTTTAAACAGATTAAATAGTAAAAAAAATCCATGATTTTTATTATGCAGCTAAGGTTAGAGTTTTTGATTGTTTAAGGCACAGGATAGGGAAAGACAAACAAAAGGGAACAAAAATGAGGAATTATTAAACATGGATGACCATCATGATAATTTTTCTGTCCATTTCCATCCACTTGAGAGCTAGAGACACTATTCATGATTGCATGAGAAAAGATGAAGATGAATTTTTAAGAGAAAGTATTTTCATATCATTAAAGCGATATCCATGAAAAATAACAATCAATTGGGCAATTTTTCTTTTTAAAGTGAATGAGGCTTGTGGGTGGACTTTTTTAGAAAAATATGTATGTACAGTAACCATGCAGAATTTGTGGACTTGACTGAAGAGAACACCTTTAAAAGTGTTGTTTCAAGTCATGTACACTAATTCTGATATCAGTCTACTAGATGGTGATAGGATGTTGACATCCTTCCCACAAATTACAAGCCATATATTGCTGAATTGGCTTGTGTCATTCATTTGTGCAAGCTAACAACAAAAGCCTTAACTTTTAGAGTTTCTTTAGTAAGTTCAATTTGTCATAACTTATACAGTAAACTATTTCTGTTAATTTTTGTGGACTGTCAGTTATCACCTTTTATAACTCTTGTAGATCAGCTTAACAAATACCATGGACCAGTTACCTGAAAAAGTACCAGATCTGTTAGTAAGACAAGGTAATAAAACAGGAGCAAACTGTTGGTATCTGTAAGTATTTTAACTGTCAAACTTAGACATACATTTCTTAAATGCCATCCCTAATACTTGATCACCTGTTTGCAACTTATAAATTGCATCCCTGATACTTGATGATCTCTTGTTAGCAACTTATTAAATAGTATCCCTAATACTTGATGATCACCTGTTTGCAACTTATCAAATGGCATCCTTGATACTTGATAATCACTTGTTAACAACATATTTAAATGGCATCCCTTATACTTGTTTGCAACTCATGTAATGGCATCCTTGATACTTGATGATCACTTGGTACAACCCATTAGCAGAGTTCTTTCTCATGTCAGTCTACTTTTTGGGAAGTAAGTGAGAGGCTGACTTAAAACTTGCAACAAACTTTTTTTGTAATGAAGTCTCTGTTATCCAAGGCAAGAACATGCAGAAATAGATTTTTGGGAAAGTATCAGTGGTTTCATATTTTTAAAAGACCTGCTTTCTTTTGTCAGATCTGATTGAGTACATTTTGAGCTCACAAGACCTCAACGCACCTTCACAATACCTTAAAAGATATACAACACCAATTGACATCACATTGGACAGTGGTAAGGCAATGTGAATTGTTCTCGTGTGTTTATCTTGTTGGAAACTATTAAAAAAAAAATGGAAAAAATGTAGTTGCCTGGGATTTGTGCGCTCATTTAGTGAAGTCTGGGTTTATTCTCTTCATCCGCTTGAGATGTAATCAGCCAAATAACTAGCCTGTTTCACGCGCACACCAAACAGAGCGAAATAGGAAACGGCGCCATATTAGCGGCAGAGCGAAAGCGGGAGATGTTTGGGTCGTGTGAAACCTCCTTTTTTTCACTCCTCCGCAATCTCCTCCGCTACTATTGGTGCCGTTTACATCACTGTTTGTTTTACTAGCCTACTTGTAGCCGTACCCTCCCCCCGAGGAAAAACAGCTGGTTCTCAGTAACGTCGCAGTCAGAGTCGTTATAAGAAGCGAAGAGCAATGCGATTAGGGAGAAATCAAATCCGAGAAATCTGACGCGGAGTACAGTTGCCACTTGTCACTCTGTCGCTTAGGATCTGTGAGAATATAAGTGTTGAAATTGTAATCCATCGAATGGCTTGAAAACTCGCACTGTGACAATTTGATTCTTCTGCTTCAGCGCGCGACTCTGAAAATATTCAGTTTTCACCAGATCATAGATGTCAGAGTCATCGGAAGAAAGAACTCTTCTGATTTTTGCGACCTTCGATTTCATCTACTTGTAGACGATTCCGATTTTCGATTTTTTTTAAATTCGGTCGGAAGCGCGCGTAAGACTTCCACCACAACTCCGACTCCATCACAAGTAAAACAATTTTAAACAACGTTAAACTTTACCTTCATGTGAACCGACCTGGTTTGATTTTATTCTTCAACAGAATTGGCTTGGCCCATGCAGACAAGACTGTTCCCCTTAAGTTAGAAGTACTCCGAAAGGATTATTATAATCTTTTTTTATTTATTTATTTTTTTGTTCAACGCACTATTGTAAATTTTAAAATGTAAATAAATCTTTATACTTAAAAAGGCGAAAAGGAGTTTATAGTGTTGTACTGTGACTCTCACTTAGCGTCCGCTAATTACAAGGTTACCGTTAAGTGAAGGTTTTAGTAAACTGCAGCACAATAGTCGAGTTTTGATTGCTGGAGAACAATAAACGAAAGAAGAATTGGTTATAAGTGTGTGTTTTATGACTCGACTTACGCCTGTTTTGACAAAAAAAAAAAACCCTTGGTCGGTTCGAGTAGAAAAGTATTAAATACTTAGACAATCGTATCCCAAAATACAACAGAAATGTGATGCAAAACAAATCTCCCCTCTCTTGCCCGCGGGAAAATATGGGACCTTGAGCAACGCGAGCCAGCATAAGCTCCGCCAGCTGCGCCCAGGGTGACGCCCAGGGTGACGCCCGGGGTGACGCCCAGGGTGACGCCCTGGGTCCAGCACCAATAATGAGGATCAGGCCTCTCCACGACTCGTCTCAAATCTTCCCGCAATCGGAGCAGCGCTAATAATATCATAGCACCTTCTTGCCGGCTCAAGAAGATTGCGATTGGGATTGTTTTCAAATTCGGATGCACTCGTAATGGTTAATTAAAACTTTCCTCTATGAACCTTTTTCGAGTTTGATATCACTACTCCATGCGCAGATTGGTATCCTCTCTTCTAAACATCCAGTCCCAACTCTTGGAAGTACCGGTGGTGTTCACAGAAATTAACTCGACTCTGACGATGATCTCCGCTTAAGTTGTCGATAACGTCAACGTTCAGTCATTCTCCGGACTATACACGGTTCACTCGGACCACGAATTAAATGCTACCACGGGTTCAAACCGTTTACTCACTAAATTTCTCATTAAGTAATGATGAATCGTTGAGTGATTTTCGGTTCAGCCGAACATCCTCACTACAGTTTGTCACAGCACGAATATTCTTTTCTCTAAAGATTTGGAATTTAGACATACCTTCAATCCTCAATGTGCTCCCGGCTTTGGTTTTGCGTTAGGGAGTTCGCTTTTTGAATATTCCACGTATGTTGGGCTTAAACTACATCAAAATAAATCGAATAAAAAATTTGATGGCCTCCGTTATTTATTTTTTTTTTTTAATGAGTAAGTTAGTAATTACGTCACAGAAGGAGAAGAGTGTTTAGTATTGAGCGCGCGAAGCGCGCGAAAAGCGTGCGCCTACTTGTCGTCACCAGGCTCTCTCAATAAACTAACTTCAACTTCACCAACTTTCTCTCGGTCCTTTCGGTTTTTCCGTTGCAGTTAAATTATGTCTTGTCCTTACTTTTCTGCCGTTGAAACATGTTACAGTAAATCTGACCTGTCTTGTAAAACTGAAAACCTCAAAAAGACATGATTTAGGAACCGCTGTTATCTGCACTGAGTACTCGAAAGAGACAAAACTACGTTTAAAAGAACTTTCAATGAACAGAAAGGCGCCATAGATAGCCCTAACACTTAATTGACGCCCTCTACAACTGCAGGACACCTCCCTCCTCCCTAACTACTCTGATGAGGGAATGCAATTAATTTCCATAACAAACAAAGAAAATACTTTTTTCTAAAAGAGGCTCAATTCGGTAAGCCAGGGAAGCCCTGATAATCTTCTAAACAGAGAAGAAAAAAAGAATGAAATTATGACTCTAGCTAAATATCTGATAATGGACGCTCCTACATTTTTAATCTCGCTCAGCATCCTGGTTGCTGACCTTTGGCTTAAAAGAGTGTTTAATCCTCTTTTTCCATATCTTGGTGATCTGCTTTAGCAATTAGAAGCTACAAAAATGTATAAAACGAGTTTTTGTCTAGGCGTTGTAAATCTAATCATTTGGATTGAGCACTGCAGCCCAACACGTGTGTGACCGGTGTCACAGTAGATTTGAACCTCCCACCATCCCCCGCGGGTTTGGACCCTGACCCAAATCCGCTAGCGGAGATGCTCCGGATCGCTCCCCTGGGATTTCCAAATTCGTGAAGAAAACTACGTTGCGAAGTTTTTTTGCACATTTTCCAAACTTAATCTCCTTCCCAGGTTATAGTTTTCAGCCAATATTACTCGCATTATAACTGTGCCCTCACTTTTAATGGTCTTAAATTTGTTAACCTTTCCAGTGGTTTTGAACGAAACCTGAGTGTTAACCAAAAATGAGCCCACAATAAACAATACTGGATCAGCGGGTTTACCCTAGTCAACATACGGGACACCATAATCTCTCTCTTCCTTTTCCATCGTTTTGGTAAGTGCGAATCATTAAGATGAAAACTTCTTGAGAATATCTTGTGGCATCCTGGAGCATCCTTTGCTTTTGTATAATCGAAATTGACCAGAAGCTAACTTAAACTATCGGTCCCTATTTTTCTCTACTCATTTTAGCGAAGCGTCTCATTAAAAGCCAACGATCCATTGTTTTGGTTCCTCATGTCATTTGTTTGTAAAGAAACTGTAGTCTGCATTATTTTATTTTTTCGTAGTCTTAAGAAGTGATTCTTTCTTCTCAATAATAAATAATGAAAATTTATCTATCAATTCCGAACCCTTTGTAATACCGCTGTGCCATTTTAGCGACTTGTGCTTTATTTGGATCCGAGTCACTGTGACTCTGCAAAATCATGGAATTCTCATGTCTTTGTAGCCTTATAAATCGTGAAATTGCATCATTTTCTCTTATACATGTACCAGAACAGTCAAAATGGGGCGAAGACCGGCCCGTTGGTAAGTTTACGTTTACAAACCATCCAGTGTGATATTTAGGCGTACTTGTAATCTCCATAGATATTTATCCATCTGTGACTTCTTGTACTTTTGCATATTCGCCTTATCAATCCTCGATGGCTTTAGCTTTGTTTAAGTAGACTTTTGAGAAAAGTGAGAAATTGAGGTGGCAATGCAGAACTTGGAAGTAACCTGCTAGCTTTATAGACCTGCGAGCCATTGGTTATCTTTCAAAAGCAGTTACCTGCTTTTCACTTTTGTCATCGTTATTACTCTACAGTTAATGGTTACTCTATGTATGAAGATAGTTTTATTTATGCTACAAAGATTACAGTCCATAATGTGCTTATTGCTCTAGCTTATTCACATTACTGCTTCTAGCGTTCAGTTGTATTCCTGATTTATGGGTGTCTGGGTTTTTAATGATAATTTTCCCTTTCTTAGTTACCGTTACTGCAAGAACAAGCCATATCCTAAGTCACGCTTTTGCCGTGGTGTCCCAGGTGAGAAGTTTCTTCTATGTTTTTTTTTGTTAAATACAGCTACAAAACATCTTGGGGAACATTCATCTCAATGTGCTTTTAACTACCTGGGAAAAGGTTTGTTTACTTCAGATAACCCACCTACAAAGAGGTCATTTGAAGTACTGATATTCCAATAACATGGCCCAAGTAAAACTTGAATAAAGGGGGAAATTTACTAAAGAAACTGCAGTGCTATGTCAGTGAGGGGTAATACAGGATAATTTGGTTTTATCAACTGAGTTGGTGATGTAAATTAGCCATTGTAAAAAGTTTCCAGAGATAACCAGGGCTCAACACTAACAGTAGTCAACTAGCCACAGACTAGTAGAAATTCAGTTTTGGCTAGTGGTTTTGTATTTCCATTAGCCAGTTAGGCTAGTAAACAAACTGAAATTATTGCAACATCTAAGTTGTCACTAGCCACTTGGTTAGTAAGTTGAAAAGCTGATGTCAAGCCCTGATGACATTTCCAGTGTTAGCTGTTTGTCAGCTTTAGTAACTCTTAATGGTGGCCAATTTTCATCATCGATTCATTTGATCAAGTCATGTCCTTAGTCTGCACAATTGTGGAAAACCATCTTTCGTTCAAGGGAATTGATTGCCCGTAACTGTTTTTGTCCAATACTTTCCATGTAGATGCCAAAATTAGAATTTATGACTTGGGTCGCAAGAAAGCTCGAGTAGATGAGCTTCCTCTGTGTATCCACATGGTGTCAGATGAGTATGAACAGCTGTCCAGTGAAGCCCTGGAGGCAGCTCGTATCTGCTGTAACAAATACATGGTGAAGAACTGTGGTAAGGATTCCTTCCATTTGCGCATGAGGCTGCACCCTTTCCATGTTATCAGGATCAATAAGATGTTGTCGTGTGCTGGAGCTGATAGGTGAGTTTGATTACTTTGAAACCTTTTTATGTTGTCAAAAACAAAATGTGGTGATAAAGGTCTCTTGATTTTGTGCTGGCCCCTGAACAAGACTAATTGTCAATTCTGGTATTATCAAGCCACAATTGAAATTATTGCCCTTGACATGAAATGCAGGCTGTGTTTTGTAGGCATGGTTGTTATAATTTGGGATGCTGGAATCCCAAGGTCCTGTTTCAGTGTTGTATTTAATTTATCTACTGATGTTCAGACTCAAGTGAAGGCTAAAATCCACTTTCATTTAAGTTTCTCAAGTCACATTATGAAAGAGGTTATTAGCCTAGAGAAGGCCATTAGGATAGTTGGCTAAAACTTGGATATGTCAGCATTTTTAAGGGGGCTCATAAGTCAATATTTCTTTGATGTCTTGAATGAAGAAAAGTGATTAAAGAAAAGTGAAAGCTAAATACTATAAACCATTGAAAAAAAAGTTCCAAACAGCCATTTTTACATGAGCATTTTTTAAGTTGCTTGGCAAGTGACTGCGATAAATGTCATCAAGACAATTGCTTTTCCTACTTGCTTCAGCAAGTTGAGAAAATTCTGTAGGGGTCATTGAAGATTAATCTTGCCTTAACTTCTCACAAAACTGATTTTGAATGTTAAAAACTTGTCAAGGATAGGATTGTAACAATTTTTTATGTCAAATTAATTTCATGACCTGCTCCCGGTTGGCTTGTTAGCTCAATTGGTAGAGTGCTGCACTAGTTAGTATCACAGAGGTCAGTGGTTCGAATCCCATACAGACCTGAATTTTTTCAGGTCAGATTTTCACTATTGCTTAAATAGTGCTCTTTGCTGTGAGGATTGTGCACAAATACGTTTCTATAACCACAGTTCAGATATATGAATTTCATATATTTTTTGTGTTTAATTTTTTTTTTTCCTTGGAAACTATTAAGTTTAGACCTTTTTATTCAGCTGTAATCCTTTTTTAAGTAGTCTTAAATGTAGCTTCTGTAACATGTCTTGGTGGTTAATTTTTTAGGCTCCAGACAGGTATGCGTGGTGCCTTTGGAAAACCTCAAGGCACAGTGGCACGTGTCAACATTGGCCAGGTTATCATGTCCTTGAGAACAAAGGATGGGAACAAGGCAGCTGCTATTGAGGCCTTGAGAAGAGCCAAGTTCAAGTTTCCAGGAAGGCAAAAGGTAAAATAGTTTTGGCTATTTCCACTTTCAGCAGTCCCTTTTGGAAATGCTAGGAAATGGCCAGGTCATGGGAAGATAATGATTCCCTTTTGGCAAACTTTGTCCTTAAACAATTTGCTGTCCCATTTTCTATATCTTAACATAAGTCATGCCTTGGATTATATTCAGTTAAAATGCACATTACATTGCTAAAAATTAACTTGAAATGTAATAGTATTATTCAGGAGTGGTTAAACTAGGGAAGCTAGAATGGCTTGCTTCTATGTCAAGGTGATAAAATCTGTTCATATCAGTATAAAAGTGCTACCATAGCGGGTAAAGGTCATCTCTGTTTGTTACTTGTTTGTGATTTGACATGCAGATAGTTATTTTTCACTCAAATTTTTACATGTGATAATTTCCTAAATGAAGTTAAATGGTTATCTAAACTGTGCCATCTTCTAAAACAGTTCAAGAGCAATCCAAAAGCAATGTCTGAGAATTGCATCTTAATGTCTCAAGAAATGGAGCACTTGATTTTGAGATTTTCATCAAGGTGGTGCTCTGAATAGCTCTAATATTGTTATAAATGTGCAATAAACACATAAGATATACAAAGTTTTCCTGAATTTATGTACTATTTAGATTTATGTGTCCAAGAAGTGGGGATTTACCAAGTTTGATCGAGAAGTTTATGAGGAGTGGCGTGCCTCTGGAAAGCTTGTACCTGATGGAGTAATGGCAAAGTACATGGCAGATCATGGTCCCCTTGCGGCCTGGAAGAAACAACATGCAGCTTAACTTGTGCAGACATGTGAATAACAGAAATTAAAGCTCCATGATAATTAACCAGCAGTTGTATTTTGTTGTGGTTTAAGTATCAGAAACCTGACTAGCTTGATGGCCAGGGGTGTACAGGGGGCTCTCCTCTTGCCCTCTTTGCCTTTGTGCGTGGATATCTTGACTTTTCTGCCCTTCCCATCTCTCACCGGCGGAGCAAGCTATGGTATCTCCAACGCTTGACCATACGCACAGAATATCTTACAATGTTTTTGCGCGCAACGTGCCTTACGTGTTTGCCGTCCTGTAGTAGCATTTTGTCAGGTGTTGGATGGTGCCGAATGGTAAAATTTATTGTAACCTTTGTGACAATTGCAGGATGTTGCGTGCGTATGGTCATGCATTTAAGATAGTTTGGCTTCCTCTCTCGAAATAGGATCCAACAATATTGCGCGATAAAGCTTTCTGCGTGCTCTAGGTGGTCATACATTTGTAGAGTAGGATTCTAACTATTTTCGCCTATTTTAACGAGAAATTTCCACGAGCCTGATGTAAATTAGAGAGCAGCATCGTTTGTTCTTGGATATTTTCGAACTGCTGATTAGATAGGCAAACACATTGCGCAGGACAATCATGGCGGTCGGATGCAGAATCAGGCTCTCTGCGAACATTTGTATATTTCTCTGCATTTTTGTGTCTTTTGTAAACTACAAGTCCTTATATCTGCAGAAGAGCACTTTTCTAAACGACAGTGATGTGTATTTTGTCTCCAAAGTGAGCTGCAGAACTGAAATTGCGGGTAATTCACGTCAACAGAGGAATCCGTCTGGAGATAAAGAGCTTAGTAATTCGCTCAAAGCTGTTATGCTTTGTAAGCTCTTTCATCGAGCCTGTTTCGCCCTAGCTCTAATTGCTCTGGCCGGTGATATTGAATCTAACCCTGGCTACCAGACGCTACACGACATAAGGAATACTCTGGACTGAAAATTGCTCACTTACATTCGAAGTCTCGTACACAAGACCGACTCTTTGCGCCTTGAGGGAATCGACAGTAAAACAGTGGACATTCTAACTCTATCCGAGACATGGTTGGATGGGAATATTTGCGACACAGAAATTAGTCTTCCTGGATTCGTGTGCGTTCGTCGGGATCGCACTGGCATTAAAGAGGGATATGGTGGTGTAGCTATCTATGTGAGAGAAGGTTTGACTTTTCGCCTGCGGAATGATATTAATACTGGCGGTCAGGAATGTCTATGGATCGAGTTGATTAGAAACAAATGCAAGCCGACACTCGTCTGCTGCGCTTATAGGGCACCGGATTCTGACTTTCAGACCTTTATTTCCTCGCTACATGAGAGTATGTCATCTGTGGATCTGGAAAAATCGGATGTGGTGATTCTAGGCGATTTTAACGCAGACATGATGGCGAGTTCTAGATTGGCAAGAAGAGATAAACAAGAACTTCTTAACTTTTCGCGGGCCTACAACTTCACTCAGTTAATAAAAGAACCGACGCGCATAACTGACACCTCGCGGACAATGATCGACTTGCTCTTTGCTAATAATGAACACCGCATTGTCAAATCAGGTGTTGTTCCGGTACCGCTCAGCGACCATTTTCTGGTATTTTGCATAATTAAAGCTGGTATTACAGCAAAGGCTAAACCGAGAATACTCGAGAATCGCTCCTATAAAAATTTCAATCCGACTTTATTTAATGATGATCTTAGGGATATTCCCTGGCATATTGTTGAAAACGAGGACAACGTCGACGATGCCTTGTTTGTGTGGAACAAAATGTTTTCGGAGGTTGCTGATCAACACGCACCAGTGAAACGAAGGCGTGTCAAGGGAACGCCTCTTCCATGGATGAACAGTCAAATAAGTGATACTATGAAAGAACGTGACTGGGTGCATAGAAAGGCGCGAAAATCGAACTCGGCGCGTCTTTGGTCAATGTATGCAAAGCTTAGGAACAAGGTTAATGGCTTAGTACGTACTGCCAAGTCTAAATATTACAGTGACATGATCGAGGAAGCAAATGGTAACTCAGAAAAGGTGTGGAAAGCAGTGAACGAAGCATGCAATCGGAACTCATCTTCAGAGAGTATTCAGTGTATTATCTCTGATGGCGTTCAGCATATAACATCCCAATCCATTGCTTCTTCAATGAATAGCTTCTTTGCTTCCATTGGTCGAATTCTAGCAAATAGAAT